TGTTTACTCTGACCAAGGACTTTCTGAGTCTCATGCTCTGCCAGGGAGGAGGGAAGCTGGGAGGAAGCAGAGATAGGACACCTGACCCAAACTAGCCAAAGGGGTATTCCATACCACAGCATGTCATGCCCGGTATATAAACTGGGGGCAGTTACCTGGAAGGGCTAGCTTCGCTGCTCAGGTTGGGCTGGGTATCAGTCGGTGGGTGGTGAGCAGTTGTATTCTCCTCCCTTGTTATTTCCCTTATCATTATTGGTGGCAGCAGTAGTGATTTGTGTTATACCTCAGTTACTGGACTGTTCTTATCTCAACCCGTGGGAGCTACATTCTTTCGATTCTCCCCCCTATCCCTCAGGGAGCGGGAGGGGAGGAAGGGGGAAAGTGAGAGAGCTGGCTGTGTGGTTCTGAGTTGCTTGCTGGGCTTAAACACGACAACTCTTCTGTGTATCACTGGAGTAATGAGGGTTGAAGGCTACTGATGAAAGATTGCACAGACTGTATGCAAGGAGCTCTTGTTTAATTGTATCACTTTCTCAAATTCCAGTAATCTTGAAATATACAACTTCATGTGTTCCTGTGAAAATATTTTAAGAGATATTTCCCCTGCTCCCTTTTACATGTTTAAGAAGGGATTTTCTAGAAGTTCAGTAACTGTCTAACCCATTTATTATCTTTTTGTATATAGGAATAGATAAGCAATGTGTAGTACTATCAAAACATGATTTTTTTTTTTTTCTTCCATTATGTAACTTCCATCTGTAATAGTGATTTTGGGTGCTACTTTTGACTCCAGAAGCATAATTTTCCAGCTGATGTGGTCTTGGCTCTGTTATTTCAATAAACACGTAAGAAAATGTATCTGGAAATCCCTGTGTGTTCAGAGAGAAAGACTTCTGCTTCAAAAGGAATGGAACAAGCCTGTTAGAAATGAGCTTCATGTTCCAATCTTAAATCTGTACTTAAGTTCTTGCACATACATTTGGCTAAAGTTTGTGCTATGTGTCTCATCTGATCATGTGTGAGCAGCCAAAGATAGCACACTACTGCAGCCTGTGTGCAAAGCAGCACCTGCCTCTAAGTCGTAAGCCTGAAGAAGGAGTTTTGCAAAACTGCTCTCAGATGTATGGCCTCTCAACTGGTCAAACCACTGCTCAGAACCTAGGAGTCGTTGAAAACCTTTTATTTTTGGAAGAGACCATTATTAAGAACATCTACATATGTGGATTTGGATGTCTGGAACATCAGGACCCTCCAGCCTCTCACACCAGATATTTCTTTCCCTTTACGGCTCAGTTTTTCCTTCATATGCGTTTGTATCATAGTTACAGCATTGAAATGTAACTAAATGAATCCCTAACTGCAATTTAACTGGGAGGGGGAACTTGCCCTTTCTTTCAGTGAAATGATGCAAAGATCTAAGTTATGAGGGTGTGATTCTGGTCAGAATAACACCTTTTTTGCTTTAAACATGTAACCCGCTGTATACTTGTTGAAAACAAGTCATTAACTTCTTTCTCTCTAAGAGCCATTGGGAACATGTCCAGCTTCCTGGGAAGGACTTGTGGGAGTTTTATTTTTTTTGTTAACTGGGAGACGTTTCCCATCTTCCTTAGCACATCCAGCTAGCCTGTTCTGGCCTGCTTTACAAACTTGGGCCAGACTTGAAAAGACAACAGCTAGAGGCATTTATAAACTGCACATACCTTGTCAGGTCTTGATGTAATCACGGAAGTAAATCACCATTGTCTGTTCCTAATGTATGAATGGATTTCTTTCCTTTTCAATTCCAATGAAAGCAATGGATATTAAGCCTTATAATTTGTTCATAGTAAATCACATGGATAGTAGGAGGGCCAAATTCCTTTTCTGGTAAAAAAGGAAGGAAAAGGTTTTGGCTATTGCAGTTTAATCATAATTATGATACTTTATTTTTTCACATAGACAATTTTTTGAAATATTGAGTGTTTTAGGATCAACACTTACAATAACTGTGCAATGAATAACATTACACGTCCTAGATGATGTAAAAAAATGCAGATTTGGTTGGTATCAGTAGGAGTGGAGCAGGGTTTCTGGAATTCAAGCATGTATTGAAAATAGAGAATCTGTATTTTAAAACTAGTACATAGGATTAAACTTCTCCCCAGACTAATAGGTGCTGGGCATGTTACAGAAACATGTTCAGTCTTAAGACAGATGGGAGCTTTGCACTGCTCTGTAGTGTTATCTGTTGCTGTATGAGACTCCGAATTGGAGATACAGCTGCTATTAAGAGCAAACAACATAAAAGGAATAATTTAAGGTGTTCTCAGAAAAGGAAGTTGCTGGCTGTACTCAGACTCTACAATTAAATTCTGCTGCAGCACATAATCTTATTTTTGGCCTTGTAGGAAGTTGTATTCTTTTGCCAAAATTTAACTCATATACATTTTCTTTCACCGAAGTGATTTATAATCCTTCTGTAAAGGAAATGATTGTCCAAATGTGGCATTTCTGTTATTTAAGTGAATGGAAAAAGCGGGAAATACAATCTTTTATTGTGTGTTTACCTACAGTAAACTTAAAATGAAAACCATTCTGTAAGCCTGTTTATAAGGCATGAAGTTTACTTTTGTTTTGCTTAACCAAGTGGCCGAAATGCTGCCAGCAGTATGTCTGGAATGTTATTTACTTGGTCCATTTCTGTGGTTTTTCTTCATAGCACTGTACGCATGCCACAGTTAGCAGTCATTTACTTACCACTGAACAAAGTAGTACCCCCAAAGCTGCATTTATTTGTCTCATTGTGGGCTTAATAATAAAACGTTCATCATGCTCACAGTTTTCCCCCATCTCTCCCTCCCTCCCTTCTCTTAATCAGAATTGCTTTTGGCAAAGACTTGGAGAGCTGCTTTTCTTTTCTTGCTTTGCTCTCTGTGACTTGATTTCTCTATTAGTGCTTTAATTTCGTACATTGTTTCTTACAATGCCAACTGATTGAAATTGTATAACTTGCTTTGCTGAATTACTATTATTTTTTTATAAGGAGATGGTTATTGAATATGTTTTCCTATTTAATTGTGTATCATATTTTGGTCTTGGTTTGAGACATTTGACTGGTTACAAGAAAACTGTGGGTGTTTTTAACATTTCCAACGGAAGGGTAGGGCGGGTGGGGAAGCTCTTTGGAATGCTGATGAATAATATTTGACTCTTGGAAATGTCTTAAGGCCATGTGCTCCCCTACCATGCTTGGAAGGCTAAACATAGTTTTAAAGACCTGTGGTCTTGAAGGTATTACCATTGTGCTTTATTTTCTTTCTAACTGGCTGGAGTTGAGAAAACAGTTGAAATGCTGATGGTTAGTGCAGGAGTACTCTGCAGATAGTGATCTTCATTTGTGCCCTTGCTACTCCTGTCTGTGGCATGGTGCCCTGTTAATCCTGTGAATGTCAATCACAGGGTTTAATTCTACTACTTTTCCTTCCTAGATGTACTTAATTTCAAAAATTAAGTAACTTTTGAGATGTTGATGTCTGTAACATCTATAAGCATAGCAGAAATTGCCTTACAGCAGAACATGAGTAGGGAACTGCAGTAACTTGCAATTCAGTGTGTTTTCAATAGCAGAGCAATCATAGAATCATACAATCATAGAACAGTTTGAGTTGGAAAGGACCTTAAGATCATCTAGTCCCAACCCCCCTGCCATGGGCAGGGACACCTCACACTAAACCATGTCAGCCAAGGCTCTGTCCAACCTGGCCTTGAACACCACCAGGGATGGAGCATTCGCAGGTTCCCTGGGCAGCCCATTCCAGTGCCTCACCACCCTAACAGGAAAGAACTTCCTCCTTATAGCCAATCTAAACTTCCCCTGTTTAAGTTTTAGCCCATTACCCCTTGTCCTATCACTACAGTCCCTAATGAAGCGTCCCTCCCCACCATCCCTATAGGCCTCTTCAGATAGTGGAAGGCTGCTATGAGGTCTCCATGCAGCCTTCTCTTCTCCAGGCTGAACAGCCCCAACTTCCTCAGCCTGTCTTCATACGGGAGGTGCTCCAGTCCCCTGATCATCCTCGTGGCCCTCCTCTGGACTTGTTCCAACAGTTCCATGTCCTTTTTATGTTGAGGGCACCAGAACTGCACACAATGCTCCAAGTGAGGTCTCATGACAGCGGTGTCCTTCAACCTGCTGGTCACACTCCTTTTGATGCAGCCCAGGATACGGTTGGCTTTCTGGACTGCGAGCGCACACTGAAGCTGGCTCATGTTAAGTTCCTCATCAAAACTATATAATAAAGCAATAATTCATATCATTTTCCCCTCCAATTTCTCCTAGTACTTGAGTCCAAAGCAGAGTAGATTGTTCTCCCCTGTTTTGAAAAGCAGATATTTAGTGAATATAGAGTCTGCTGACTTCTGTGCTTGTGGTAAAGGATGTTTTCCTTCCTCTGCATTTGCAGAAATGATCAGTTCTCATCATCAAATGGTATCTTTTTAGCTTGTTTTAATTTCTAATAAACTCATGTGTTTTACTATACATGACTCTTGTTGCCTTTGGATAGTCATGTGTTTTCTTCATAAAAAGTTTCTGCTTTATTTATTTCCAGCTTTGATAATTTAACTGATAAACGCTGGCTATATGTGCACCTGCTCATCTTTTATTATCCTGGCTTATATATAAAATGTTTCTATTGAAATAAATCAGTCTTGTAATTTGAAAAATATACCAAACTTTAAGTTACTTTTTCCAGGTCATAGGTGTTTGACAGTTGAATACAAACCAACTGCTTGGCAGAATTTTAGTTTGATCCTCTGCCGACCAACTATAAAGTACAGCCTAATTTCTAAAAACTCCTGAGCTGTAAACTATCAGTCATGACCTAGTCATGCATACAGTAATAGAGGCTGACAAGAGTAATGAAGCCTATATATTATTATGGCCATGTAGTGCATGTTATAACAGATCAGTAATGTATTTTGTCACTCATGTATTTTGTCACGTTTATGTTGTGCAGCCCACACATCATCTTCCTGTCACAGAGTGTATTATCAGGAGGGAGCCAGCTCTGTGGAACACGTCTGTGCCATGAAATTGCTCATGCTTGGTTTGGACTGGCCATTGGTGCTCGCGATTGGACTGAAGAGTGGTTAAGTGAAGGGTTTGCCACTTTTTTAGAAGATGTATTTTGGGCTAGGGCACAACAGGTAAGGTGATGATGATACACCACTTCTCAATTCAATTACGTGGAAATCAAAATTACATACCCTGCTGTGAATTAGATATAAATTAAACCTCCTGTGTTAGGAATACAGGTCTTTTAAAATAATACTGGATTTTGCATGCTGACTTGATTAAAAAAAATAATCCTTCCTTATTCACAGTGAATACTAATCTCTACAGAAGTAGAGGTCAGTGCAAATAGGAATGGAAACATCTGTTTGTCAATGATTACCTTCCCACAAATGTACTACTGCATTATATTACCCTGTTGATTTGCATTCTTTCCACTTGTTTTGTGTTCCTGAAACTGGAACAATCACCAGTCTTACTGAATATTGCAATATACCAGGTACCTAATGAAAATTATCTGGTTTTGTCCAGTGGATAGCCAAGAAGCAATCTTCAAAACAAAATGGAAGCTAATGAACAGAGTACTTACACTTTTTTTTTCTCTTATACTGCCCAGGAAAGCTTACCCCCATGTTAGAGGATTAGAAATCATTGTCTGCCTCAAACTGAAAAGCTTGTACACTGCATGACAGCTAGTAAAGTAGTTTCCTGATCTAATTCTTGGTTTTGTTGTAGCCCTGCTAAGTCAAGCATTTCGTATGTTAGTCATTTGTTCCTGTGCTTCTGTCAGGCTCTTGTTCTGCCCCTCAAGACTGCAGAGCTCTATCTGTGGAAGAGCAGTGGGGACAAGGAACTAATATTTAACCTCCATTCTGTTAAGTATCAGGAATATTTATACCACCAACCAGAACAGAATTTCTGGTCACTTACCATGTTTCTGGAACAAGAAAGAGACAAAGGCTGTTCAAACACTTTGCTTTTCCCTTCTGGTCCTAAAACTAATTTCTGCCCTTACTTGAGCATCACTGCTCTGCTGTGAGCTGTTCCCATTAATTCTATGCTTTTGTGAGTCACTTGAAAGCATTTTCATTGTAGTAGACGCCCTTCCATGTAGCTAAGTGGAAAAGAGAAAATAACAAAACAGGGTGATTAGTGCCTTTGTTAATTTCGAAGGTCAGAAAAATCCCTTTTTGTTTTTCTTTTCTAGCCTTATTGGGTAGTTTTGGTGCTGTGCAATTATGCAATTGTTCAGTTGTAAGATTGTGAGTATATTCCATAGTGTCTGACAGTAACTTCACTTGTGACTGAAATACTGGTGTAATGCAGGATAATGCTAGCTGCTTTTTCTTTCTCCCATCTTCCATCTTTTCTTATAATAGAGAAATATAAATTAGCAGTTATTTGTAAGATGACAACCTGGCATTTATTTCTTAAGCATGTGTCTCTGTTAATGCTATGTATATGGAGGAAAGTACAAGAAAGAGCTTTCACAAATGTAACAGAACTAATGGGAAAGAGGAGTGAAGTTGGGATACAAAGCAGCTCTTTTCTTTCAAGCTGGGAAAAGTAAAGATGCAACCAAAATTGCCAGGTATCTGTGCTGTACATTCAGTTCACTTATTGCCAGTCACTAAAGGGAAAACAACATGCCCATCTCTCTCCTCAGGCAGAACTATTTAACTGACTATTGATTTGATGCACACAGTGAGGCTTCTGTTTTCCTTAGTGCTGCTATTAACTCTCATAGCAGCAGCTGTTATGTTTTGGTTTTGTTGTTTGGGTTTTGTTTCGTTGTTTTTTTTAACATGGATATAGGTACTGTTTCCTGCAGCTTCTGTGCATTAAAGGGAAACAAAACAAGTTTGTCTTTCTGAAAATTATTATTGTCTGTTCGGAAACAGCAATTGGTGATCGGTGTTTTTTGTATACTAAGCAGCTGTCACATGATGAAGTAAAAGGGCTGCAGGAATTGAAAGCTTTACTTCGCTGGCGCCGACTCAGAGATGAGGTGCAGAACTCTGAAGAAGAGCTGCAAGTTTTAAGGTAACAGTATCACAGTTTAATTTCTGCTTTTGCATGTTCTGTCTCTACTGTTTTCCACCAGTTTCTCCTTTCAAAGGCTATACATCCAAATAATCTGGTTAAATCTACTACATTTCCTTATTTCCTCTGAAGAAAAAAAGAAAAATGAAATTAAATTGACTAGCTTATTTGTCTTCTCTATAATTCTGCAATTGCTTTTCTCTTTGTTATAGAATGCTTTCAAAAACCGTGGGATTTAGTTTGATATAAAACATCTCTAAGCAGTTTACAAGACTCTTTATTCAGGAAAAAAAAAAAAAAGGCCATTTCCTTACTTCACTGTTTGAAGCTGTGACAGATTCATTTTCTGTGGCTGAAGACAAGCACATACTGGAGTGTGGTATCTAACTGCCAAGCTGTATGAAAATTTAAAAAAGAGGGGGAAAAGTACAATGAGCTATAGAAATCTACTTTTATTTATTTATTTATTTATTTTTTTAGAAATGAGTAATAATCATATTTAAACAAGAATTCGGTCTTTAGGTATCAGATGCTGAGCTCAAAGCTTCTTCTTACATAGCTAAAGACATTTGATCCAAAAAAGATTCTTGCTTTGCTAATGATACGTAATCTGGGCTGTGCTGATTGGTGTCATAGGAATTTGCCATATTCTTTCACCTTGAGTGGCTGCCTAACATCTCCACTGCTTGTCTGCCCACAGTCTTTAACCGAAAAATGCAAGTTTACTAATCCTAGCTGAGATTAGCTTTGGTCAAATAATGGAATTACAGGGACAGATTTCAAGAGATTATGTAGACCGTTCTCCTACCCTGAGACACAGGCAGTATATACAGACCAATTCAAGTAGGTCTTATCTAATATTTTCTGAGAGACCTTCAAAAAAAAAGTTTCCATGGTTCCTGGCTAAGCTGTTCTTAGTGTTAACAATTAAAAATGCACAGCTGAAATACTGTTCATTTCAAAAAATATAGTTTTCTTCATTTCTTTCACCAAGTAGAAGTGAAGAACGAATTGATTCCCATCCTCTGTATGATCATCTTTTACATGGTTTTAGAAGACTTTTGCCATTTCATTCACCTTGAGATCTTTGTTTCTTTTTGTGCTTTTCCCATAGGACCTAAAAGCCTTTTAGTTTTGGGCAATAGAAATTGTTCACCAACATAGAAACTCCTGTCTATGGCCTCATCTAATCTGAAAACGTCACCAACTGCGTAATTGTAGTCTTTCATTGACCGGTTTTACTTCATGTCTATTAGTTAATTGTGTATCCTACGTATAAGCAGGGTCAGTGAAATTATACATTTGTAATTTTGCGATTTGATGATAGGTGTAAATACAAAAGCAGGCTTTATCACAAGCTGTCATGGAGCTGCTGCCAGTACAACTACTGATTGACAGATGCTGGGGGTTTTTGTTTATTTTAAAATAAATGTTTTTTTAGGAACACTGGTTCTTATGATATGAGGCTTATCTTGAGGTATATTTTCCATTTTCAAGGTTATGAAACCCCATTTGCTACTTTTAATAAAATGTCTATGTGGTGTAAATTTTTAAAATCATTTTTCGAAGGGCCAAAATATCTTTTGCAGCTTGAAACTCGGGAAGGATTGATTTATACTGAAATTGAAACTTAAGCTTTCTGTTGACTTCCACAGTTAGTAGACAGAAGTCTCAAATAAACATACTGCTTACCTTTTTCATAGTGGTATTCTCAGTGCTAATACAAAAGAATGATGTATCATTTCTTGTTTGAAAAATATGCTTCTCATGTACACTTCAGTAGTAGAACATGATGCCAGCTCAGGATCCTAGCAATCTCTTCCTTTTTGCTATCTTTAGTTTCTTGTGGTTGCATTTAAGGACTTACCACTGGTTCACTCAGATATAAATATTCTTTACTATTTTTGTGGAGAGAGTTCTCTCTTTGCATGTTTACTGTTTTTTTGTTTGGTTTTTTTCTTTTTTTTCTTTCCTTCCCCTTTTGAAAGTATATGCATGTGCTTTCCAGAGGTTGTCTATGAGAGAGAAAATTCCAGTCTTGGCATCACACTGGTTTTTGAGTCTGTACTGGGACTTGTGCTAGTTCAAGCTTGTTTTTTTATGCCAGGATATTAAAAATGAATGATAAGAGTTTGTTATTTCTTGCCAATTATGTCAGGAATTAAAAAAAAAAATATCAGCCAACCTGTTCTTTCCAAGCATAAACTTAATCTTCAATTACTTTTTTGTTGCCTGCTGGGAAATCATATGATTTTTTTGTGCTTTGCTTGTTCAGACTAGGTGAAAGCCACTCAGCAAACTGATCATCAGTATGATGGTTCTTCTTATAGTGGATATTTGGCATTACATTATAGTAGCATCTCAGGAGTTTCCTGTGAAAAAGAAGTCATGTATGGAAGAAATAGATAAGTATCTTTTCAGCAGGCAGCAGCTCTGAAAGGCAGCACCAGCAGTTCTTGGTTTGGAAGAAGAAGTTTGTGGCATTGTAGTGCTTATACAGGATAAGACATCAGGCAGAATCCTGTGTAATTTCTCAGTTTGAAGCAAATCTGCAGGTATAAAAGCACCTGTGAAGTATGTGATGGCACTTACTCTGCTGGCAAGTATCAAATCCATCACTCTCATCCAATGTCTCACATTATGACAGCAAATAGAGAAGTCTATTTTGTTCTGTAGAATAAAGCTGGTGTTGAGATTGTTTCATGTCCTTGCCCATAAGACTGAACTTCAGCTTGTGATTCTTCCTTAAGACAAACCAGTGTTGATATCTAACTCTAAATTTGTCTCTGAGTTCCACTTGAGTCAAGTGTATTTCCCTCTTGAAGCAATGCTCTCTGACTCTGTAGGGGTTTAAAGAGTTTTATTCTATCACACAGATAGACACAGATATCACACAGGAAACTCACCTTTCAGATGGTCTCTCGTAGTCTCTATGTAGGTTTTCAGGACTACCTAATGCATCAGAGCATTTAATTACGAAGTACTTCCTGGTGAATTGTGATTTTACTTTCTACACAATACTTCTTAGCCTGGCAAACAAAATTCCTCCTTCCTTCAGAAATTTTCCAGTATGTAAAATGTTCATGTAGCAGCTCAATTACTTTATATCAGCTTGCCTTTAACATTATGCCTAGCTTCATCTACTGGGTTAGTTGCCAGGTTTTGTAGGTCAGTGTAATGCACCTCCAGTCTCTGCCTTCAATGTGTTGTAAATATACTAAGCATTGCTTTAAAATAGTGTACTGAAGTACTGACATAAATACATACAACGTAAATTTCTGAGTATTTATCCTTTTGCACACATTATCAGGGGTATATATATGCACCCTTTGCAAAATCAAATTCTTGAGTACAATCATGCAGATGGGATACTGCTTTCCATTCACCTGCTAGTATCTACAGAGTCACAAATTTGGAGGAGGAAGGAAGTATGGTTCCCTAATTTACAACAATTATGATTATGGGAGGTATTTCAGTTTAGTGTGGATCCTGTAGCCCATGCTCAAACTCCATTTTTCAAAGTCTATTGACTGGCCTATATATTATGGGAGAAATGAAGCATTTTTGGCTTTTTATACTCGCAGAGAACAATGAAAAGTTGCCAGCAGGCCTTCCTTCCAGGAGGCTGATCCAGAATGGAAACAGGTGGACCTCTGCTATCCTGCAGTGGGTCTGCAATGATTACATTGTCTGCTACCACAGGATAAGAAATCAGTTATTGATCTCCTCCTTTCAATGTTGAAAGAAAATACTAACTATAACATGTTAAAGGCATTTGTTAGGAACAGTGTAAAACTGAATTGCTTTTATTTTTTTCTATTTTATTTCAAACGGTTGTATTTGATCAAACTTTTACTGTGTGAAGTGGGTTTCATCTGCACACATCCTAAATACAGTGCCTAAAGAGTGAAAAAATCCAGCTTCGCACTCAGGACAAAACTAATGAGAATTCATTACACAGATACAAATAAGGAAGAATGTTTTCCTCAAAGCAGACATAGATATAAATTTGATCACAGAGATTAGCTCATGAGAAGTGTATCAGTGCTTTGAAGAATCCTGCACTGCTGTAGCCTATGTTGCCCCTATACTGGAGAAGTGGGAGGAAAGATGATTGGTTTCCAAGACTGGCCATTTCAGAATCCACACTTAGAATTGGGGAGGTTGCTTCAGCTACAGGGTTAGGCTCCTAACATAGACGTCTATTCTCAGACCACTGTCAGCTGCAACATTTTCTGCATGGAAGAAAGTAAGCTGTAGGGGTCTTGAGTGCCATGACTGTGAAGGCACTGCTTACAAATGAATTTAAAAATGTTTGCATAGCTTCTCTTTAGTTTCACTCTGTGTTAATAAAAGCCTAGAAGTTGTCCACACTTTACTGCTGTGGGTATTTCTTGTGCATGCAGATGAAAGAGGTGATTCTTGCAAGTATAGTCGTGTAAACTATTAAACCAATGTTTAGGTATGAGAAGAGAAAATTCTACTTGAAGATGTCTTCAGTATCCTCCCCTTCCCTTTTTGCTTCATCTTCCCTTTTCCTTTCCCCTTTCCCTCTCCCCTCTCCCTTTCTCCTTCTACTTTCCTTTCCCATTCTCCTATCTCTTTTTGTTTGTTTTTCTTTATTCATAATGAGTCTGCACTGTAGAATGGCAGGCAGTGTGATGCCATGCTAGCCGTGAAAAGAGTACACCAACATAGTGATGTATTTCTTTTGTAACCCAGCTGTCTGATCACCTATGTACAAAATTTCATTAAAAGTATGAAATTTTTTTGTTCGTCTGTCTAAGCCAAGTTATTTACTTAAGGTAAAGGAAAAGAAATAGTCACAGGTGTCTAAACTTACTATACTATTCACAATGCTTTCAACTATAAGAATGTGCAATGTATGAGTAATTTCTTTATTTACTTCCCCAAGACTTAATTACTCTGTTACCATTTTAGGCCCAAAAAGGAGAGCACAGGAGAAACGAGCGAGTCTGGAGCATCCATTGTCAAACATGGTCTTAAAGCAGAAAAAGTCTTCATGCAGGTCCACTACTTAAAGGTGAGTGTTGTCAGCTGATTTTTAATTAAATTGCTTTACTAATATGGTAAAAAGTTTCTTTTTTTTAGACATGAACAAATTCATAGAATCCTATTTATTTCTTGTTTAATTTGCAGGGTTACTTCCTTTTGCGGTCTCTGGCAAGGACAATAGGAGAGGCTTCATACCTTTCATCTTTACGAAAATTTGTCCATAAGTTCCATGGACAGCTTGTCCTTTCTCAGGTACTGTGCTCGGGGTTGCTCTTCACTTTCTGGAAAAAAAGCCCAACAAAACAAATTATCTAAACTTTTGATTCTGTCTGTGGTGAAAAGAAAGAGGCAATTGTGATTTGGCAATATTGGTAAAATTCCTGCCTGCTAGAGGGCAGAACATTTTTTTTTAAGGTGATACATAAACTGGGTACCCTACTAGTATCTGTTAATATAAACAGTGGGTGATTTTAGTATTTGTTTTTTTTTGATTTAAACTTGATGCTTTGAAAGGTCAGTGCTTGTAGGTGCTGTTGTTCTCAAAGACAGGGTCATTTACTGTACTGGAATTGTCTCCTGTAGTCTTTTAGCTCATGGGTTTTGGTTGTGGTCAGTCAGCCTTTTCCTTGATAGCTCTCTGTTTCTGACAGAGAAGAAGCACAGAGTAGGAATGCAACTGAAAACTTCTACACATCGTAACAGTGTGTGCACATTGTATTTCTGATTCTCTACATGCTGCTTCATTCGGTGCTTGTAACTTCACAGTCTTTCTTATCAGCATGACAGCCTCTTTCTCATTAAGTCAGAGAGTGGTGTCCCCATCACTCTGACATTACACTCACCCGTATCACAGTCTTGTAAACCTCTATATAGGTTCCCTCATCATGGTCCATACTCCCATGTTTCCTAGCATTATGTTACTGAAGGAAACATCCTTCTAGGATGTTTAAGATGTTCTGCTTCTTTCTTTCAGCAGACCTTCTCTGACAGTGATACCATGCAGTAGCAGCCCTACCTGAAGAGCACTTGTTCTCATAGGACAGGATTTCTTCCTAGACTGGTGAAGCCTTGGTTGTAAATGTAATGTTGAATTAGGAATATGAATCTATCCTCCAAAGTCCAACTGCATATGTTAATCACTTGAATTACAGACTTAGTTGTTCTCTTCCTGTCATAAATGGTATATAATTGCTCCATGCAAAGTGGAATAGCTTCAAAAGAAAACATTAAGCAAGTCACACCACAGTATCTCATACCGTCTGTTATGTAGAGAGCCCAACTGGGGTTATAAATAGAAATCTACCTCCCCCTAAGTCTTTCTGAAAATGTCCTGTAACCACTGGCTGTAGTGTTAAAAGAGAGTCTTGTTTTCCAGTGTTTTATTTTGAGAACGGAATGACGTATTTCACCAAAACCAAAGTTCTAGGGAATCCTCTCATTGGTGACGAGTCCAGCTTGTGCCATGGCACTGTTGCTTGTTGCTTCGGTAATGCTGTGAAAACAACCATTGATTGGGGTGCCTGTGAAGCAGGGCACTGAACTCAGCATGGTTAAAACCAGGCCTGGAACAAAAGAAACAGCATAACAAATATTTGGTATCACTAGAAGATCAGTGTGATGAGAATGAGGGGTGGGGGAAGAGAGAGGAGGAGGAGGAATACATTTCTGAAAACAGTTTCTTTGCTGAAGTCTGTCTTTTCTTGCGTTGTGGTTAAAATCTCTGAGGGGATTCAGGATGCTGATATACATCTCCTTGCAATGCAGAATAAGGGCCTGTGATTTTGAGGGAATGGGGTCTAACACTTTCCTGCCACAGGGATTCTTTGCTCGTGTGCTTGGTATTTTGTCTCACTCTCTTGGGGTGAGATGTATGCCCATGTATCTTACAGATAGCTCCCAGAACTGTAGAGTATTTTGTATGTCAAGTCACCCCGAAGTTAGGCGTAGTAGCTTTACTGCAGCAGCTTTACTCTGTGGAGGAACATCTGGGGTGATAAGGGAGTTAATGTTTCCACTGTTGCAGCTGTTTCCTGTACCATGTTATTGAGACCTTGGGTGGTTATGTTTGGCATAGTGTGGAAAATGACAGTGACTATATGAGCCTTGTCTACATTACGATGTCCAAAATCATAAATATGATGCTTTGCTATTACACATGCGGAAACTGACTGAAAGCAGAATTTGTAAGAAGCAGCCCAGTGTTTAAATCTGGTGGTAAGAACGATGCTTGTTCCTCCTGGTTGATGTGAGGTGAGGTGTGTCAGTAGACTGATTAAATGCTGCAAAATGCCTTAGCACATTATACTATTAGTCATGATAGCTAGATTGCATTGCAATTGAACTACGCATCTACTAGAGATTTCTTCCTCTGTCCAACACTCTACTATGAAATGTTAATCTGTAGTGTACTAACTTCAGTCTCATAAAATGAAATACTGTATGTTGTTTCTGCACCCAGAAACAAACCATTCTGGTTATCGGTTAAAAGCATTGTTCAGTGTTTTTAATTATGCAAGCAAGATTAAGTCATGCTTTTATTTCAGGTTTCTTAGGTTACTTTTTGTTTAAATACATGCAATATATCCATAGGTATGTGCTTAATGTAGGTCAAAAAAATACAATTTCCTACTTTCCTTCATTTGAAGATACCTAATTTGGTGGAAAAAGAGCTGTGTACTATGTAACTTGTGTGCTTTTTTGTGCTTTTACCTTGTTTCACAGCAGCCTAAATCCATCTCCCACTGAAGCTGCTGAGAATAGGATTTTAACATCATCCTGTTGTTTGGTCACTATGTAAAAACTGCAAAGGGGATGCAGAAATGATAGGGCTATAACCAATTGTAAATGCATTTACTTTCTTCATAAGATTATGTTAGTGTCTAGTATTGGCAGATTAGCAATCACAGCAGGAATTGCAAATGCAGAAGTAATGAAGTCAAGTTAGTACAAAGTTTATTATTCAAGTTCCTTTTTGAACAAACATTCTGTCAGTGTTTAAATGAATAAAAGATTTAAAATAAATAGAGGTGCAAATGGTAGGTTTAAAGATCATAATGTTGTACTTTCACCTTGTCCAAAATAATTGTGAAAGTTCCCAGCTTTAGGAATTGTAGCTATGAGGGAATGTAAACCCAGTGAAAATAATTGCCCATGTTCTGAATACTAGTCTTGTTTTCAGTGGTGCTTGCAGTATTTTTCCTAGATGGGAGCTGCAGGTGCAAGGAAATGACTTCAGATGTGAAACATTAATCAGTTTGCCTTTTTCCTTCATTTTGGTTGCGTGCTCAGTATGTTTTTAATAGTAGTTTTTGTTTATTTTAGTTGAGTTAGCAACAGACGAGTAAAGCAAGTCTGGAATCTTTGAAAAAGATTTTTAAAAATCTTCCATTTTTCTTTCTGTGAGAGAATTCAGTCACTAACTGCTTTGACTTAACTTTTAAAATAATGGAGTGTTACTGACTATAAATAAATAGAAGGGAGTGTTAGTTGCTGATATTCCTAAAACAGTTAAACCTGGTGTTCAGTTTGATACTGAAATAAGAACACTTTGGAATTGAATTGTTTGAAGACTTCAATTTTCATGTATTTCTGTCTGCTATAATAATAAACCAACATCTGTAGAAGTCATCTATCAGATACAAGCTATGGTTCGCTGTAGTAAAATTACACTCAAGAAGGCAGTGCTTAAAACAAAAATCATAATTTATGCTATTTGTGAAAGTTTTAAAGGCAGATGTGTGGATCCAAGCCCACTCTGTATGTACCTATATAACATGTCCAGCATACTGATTTGCATGGGTACATACTATTATCATAGTTTTATAAGATTGGTATTTGTACACACATCTCCATTCAACTATTCATTTGCATGTAGAGCTCTTATAACTAGAATTGGAAGTCTAAGAATGCAGTGTGCATGTATTTTGATGTTTCAACCTCTAGAATCTCTTCTTTAGATGAAAGTTGAGATAAAGTTTGTCTCTGCAGTTTCATGCTTAGTGTTCCATGCTTACTGACCTGGGACCTTGAGCAAAACACTGTTGACATCCTTGAGGCATGGTCTGGACTGTGGCACTGTCCCATACAGAGCAGCCTCCAGGACAGGGGTCTTTGCTTTCTACACTCTCATATGCTTGTAAAACAGAAATAGATGGGTCTGTTTTGCTAAGATTGAGTTCATTTCCTCTTCCAATTCTTGCGTAAATGTCCATATTCCTACTTTTATTTAGCTGTGCACCACACAGCCTTTATTCACTTTCCTTATATATTTGTGTTATAACATAACCTTTAATTAATGCATGATCACAGTCCTTTTATTATTTTTTTACCAAAGATCTTTCCCTCATTTATGTAAAATAGGTATTGCTCTCATATGAAGCAGCTGTTTGGTATTTTGTTCTCTGTTGTTCACAGACACTTTATTTACCGTACAGTATGCTTTTCTTTCTGTTCAACCTTTTAACAAGTGTAAGGCAACAAAAAAAGACTGCTTCACTAGGTCATACATTTTACCCTAAATTAACTGTGTTTAAAATGCTTATGTGTTTGACAAGTGATTAATGTATGGGTCAGTTAACTATATTGCACATTTTGACAATCCATTGTATTCATATTATATAATCTGACTAGCTTTAGGCCATATTTGTATTTTAGTACAAGTGTCTTGAAAGAAAGAAAGTATGAAATATTGTGCTTAAGTAAGTAAGACTGGGTTAGTAAAAGTCATTAACATGGTATAAGCCAAGATTTGTGTTGTGAGAAAACTTTTTTTTACATTTTGCGTAATGATACAAGATAAACTGTCTATTTTAAAGGACAGAGATCAGAACGAAGTAGGGCTAGAAATGGAACTGGAGAAGAAACCAGAGAGTAATGAAGCTAAGAGGAGCCCAGATGTTTTATAATTATGTATAATACAGATGAGCGATTAAAACCTCAGTTAATGTGTCACACATTTTAGTGTCCAAAAGTATAATTGTATAAAAAGCCCAAAGTATCTTTTGGTATTCTGTATCTCAAGTACAAAGATTTTAAAAGAAGAAGCAAGTTTGGCACGTATAACTGTCTTCTATCAGGGAAGTGACCCATATATCTGAAAATGTCTTGGACCTTCCTGGTAGAGTACACAGATCCTTTCCATAGCTGCTGAACTTACCAAGTCTTGAGCCTAACTCTTAGCTGTGGGGTATCTTTTTGCATTTTCATTTCTGTTACAGTAGTATCTCACATCTCTGCTGACCTAAAGTTTTATTTGCTTAGCTTCCATTTAGTATTTTTCAAGCTTAAAATTACACGGTAGCTTGCTAATGCAATACAGTTTGATAGAAGAAAAGAGAAATTATTTGATTCTGATTAGAGTAAACTGACAAGGGAGCACTCAAAGCATGTGGGCGTTATTAGTGCTGAATCACAGCTCCAGCTTTTGATTTAGTGAGGTGTATTTTAAATAGAGTCAAATGCATCTTACCTGATTTTCTGCTGGATAGTCTTAAACAGAAGTCTGAAGAACAATTGAGGGCTCTATGTAGAACCATTGATACGTAACAGATCTAGTTTCTCATCTTTTTCTTAGCTATATGTGTGGTCTTACATGTTTATACGTGTAGAATAGGAGGAATCTATGTTTAATTCAAATTTTTAGGTGGTGGTATATTTAGTGGACAGTGAGAAATTGTGTAACTTCTGAAAAAATCAAAACATTTCAAATGAGTTTGAGACAACATAGGCACTGGTATTAGGAGAATGCATGTTCAAGCTGCATGCCTTCACTTTCTTGCCTGAGGTCTAGTTTGAACCTACCCATCAATAAGGTAAGAAGGAAAGATAAGGCTTTGTTCAGTGAATTAAGTGACAGTCAGCGTACTTTTTCCAACTTACCTGGTCCGTGAATGGACTTACCCGCTCTGAGGTGTTTTGACATGTATGAAGATGTGTTTTGTGAAAGACCTGGGGCTCTGACAGAAACCCTGTCACTAGTATAGCTGGGATGATTTAAGGCTTGCTTCCCTTAATTATTCACACTACACCTAAAAGGACGAATTCAGTCCAGTTAGTATGGACAATTTACCTAATATTGCTCTGTATAAAAATGCTAGACTGAATTTGGGCAGCTCAGGCAGAGATGCTTTCTGTTGCTGTGCTACACAGGGATAATAATCCAACTCAGAGAAATGCTGGGGAAGGGCCATTCAGGGGGCCGATACCATCTTAAATACCCACAAGGAAGATTTACCAGAAATCCTTGCCCAGATCCTTTTATGTGCTGTTTTCTTGTTGCCACAATACTGGGTGATTTTTTTTTTTTTTTAGGGAATTGTTAGTGATCAGAACATAGTTCATTGGCACAGGGTAAATGGGAAACAAATTCTGCCTTTGACTGGAGCTAGTCAGTGACTTCATCCCCTGGGGCTTAAACTGTTAAGCTAATGATTGCTGCCTGTTAATAGAATATACTGTAGGCGAGTCTTGCTTACTCTTGGTAGGAAGGTGTTGTCTGGGCTTGTTACCAAAACCCCAAGAGAAGGATTTCAACATGTTGCTGATTTTGTTAATTAAAAGCCAGGAAGGTGGATTGGGAGGGAATTCCAAATAAACAGGATGCTTGAAAGGGTATTCCTTATTTATTTTTCTACCTGAAAGGAACAAAGTAACATTTACCGTTTAGTTACATAATTTACAAACTGCATAATTGATAGGGTTAGTTTAATTTTGAATGGGTAACTTCCATAAGGAGTTGGATGTAAGTGCATTTGGAGTTTATTTGTTGCCAGCTGAATGTCCTTTTAGACATATCACTTCTAGTCATGAAATCTCCATTGTTTTATGCACCCCATTTATATTTCCGTTAGAGAATTTAACTGAAAGTATCTATCTATTGGTTGTAGAGTACTTGAAATATGTAGATTTCAGTATTTCATAATAAGGATATAATTTGTCTTCTAATATTCAGTGTTCTTCATTTAATATCAACTGTGCATGATCAAAGTGAGGGACCTGTCTGGTGCCCCAAAATTGTTTGAGTAGAAATATACTGGCCATTGCTCAAAACAAGAATGGGAGTAACAATATAGCATCTTTAGTTACAAAATAAGAGGCCTTCTAAACCCCTATCTGTCTAGTTACAACTTCAAGTAGCCTTCATTCCTAGGGTGCTCAAAATTACTTCTTTCAACGTACTTCTCAGTCATTAGGTCCTCACTGTTTGCCTTTGACTCAGACACGCTGTGCATTAACAATGCAAAGAAAACTACTTGATCTCAATTCACAGTCTGTATCCAGATTTGATTTGCTCAGCAGCAGCCCAAAGTTGCAGTTGTGATTAAAATTATTGGCTTCAGTCTGGATTATGGTGAGAGCAGACAAGAGTCTTTAAGGAATTTAATTGTGAGGGTCTAGCAAGTTCTTAGTGAACTTAGTGAACTTGTGAGACTCATTTTACAAAGGCTTTTTCAGTTTGGCCAAATGTAAATAAAATTGACTAAACCTCAGAGTAACAGTTTCTTTATACAGGGAAAAGTTGTTTTGTAGCCTCCAGCTTTCCACCCAGGGAAAACCAGGAGTATATACAGAAGTGAGATTATTTGATCATATGAATATAAGCCAGTTTGATAATCATGCAGCACCCTGGTGCCATGTGCTTTCTAATTAATATTTTCTTTCTGGCTTCGTTGAATTCTTGCAAACAAAAGCAAAACTAAACCATAATTTATGATCTGACTCAATATTAATTTATGATTACCCTGGTCATCCGTAAGTCTTTGCTTCAAAGTGTAAGGTCACTAGAACCCCTTAAGAAAATGGTATCAAAATTTAAAAAGCCCCAGCTTATTCCCAAACTTTTCTCTTGGACCATGTCATGTGGGAGGAAGAAAAACATAGCCTAAGGGTAGAATTTTACTCCAGATGGTTAAAGTTTGGCAAAATTATAAGCAACTGAAAAGTCAGACCTATAACAGGATGTGTCATGCAGACTTGATAATAGGCCATGCAAATATGAGGTAAATGGTAATGTGTTTTCCTACTCTATTTTGGAGCATCAAAATAGGAGTGTTTAAAATAAGATACATTAATCCTAATTTTAAGAAAGTGTGTAGCATGGTGTTTACTGCCTTATTCTCAATAGATATTTGGGAAAATAAGACAGCTTTAATCACAAAGGAAATGTTTAATTTCATAGTACAAGATACAGAATATAAAAAACCTTCTAATACCAGATGTATCTTCAAGAGTCCTATAGGACTGATTATAAAAAGTTGATGCAATCCAATCATAGAATCTAGCTACATTAATGTATACAGAGATGGTGCAAATAGTGTCAAGAATCATTATTTCAGTATTACTTTTCATGCAGTTTTGAAACAACTCTATTGATAATCTTTCCATATTCTTTATGTAAGCTCACTCTGTACCTCCAGCAAAACTTCCACATGTGGAAGGAGACGGTAGTTCTCTACTTACGTACAGAATAATGGTACAGAACTGCAAGTAGTAGTATGAAATAAGGGGATTTCATACTTTATCATCATGTCATCAGTACACTGTAGTTAGGTCAGAATGACTTCTGGCAAAGTTATGATGACATTCATGGCATAGCAACACTGAGCGCAGCACTGTGTAATTTAACCTTTCATTGTAAGCAAATTTTTCAGCTACTGCAACATAGCCTGAATTTCACTTGTAATCTAAAGGAGGAAGGCTTAACAATGTTACCAGTAGTTTCAATTGTTCAATCACTCTTTGATTCCCTAACAATACCATAATCAGAGTAACAGCATCTTCTGTTGAATGCTGTGACAGAGTACCTAAGTTAGGTAAGTTAGGTACTCTGTTTTAGGAAACATTATTCTTTAAAATCTTTGAGAACAAGTACTTGAAATCAGAAATCAGCCTGTGCTCAGGTACTGCATCATTAGCCTATGAAACTTGTCTTCACAAAGATTAGTATTAAGAAAGTGGATGTATTGTTTTATGAAATAGCATGTAAATGAATAATTCGTATTAATATATCCTTATGAATTTGTTCAGAGGAGTGTATTGTGTCAAAGTGATTCTCATTAAAAATAGGTCATGTAGTGTGAGGTGCAAGAGAACCTTCAAGTGATGTCAGGTGTAACTTTCAAAAGAGGGTTTATCACAGAGTTGTAAGTGAGGATGACTGTAACGCTCTTTCACTGGCATTTCACCTTCTTACATATCTATGAAAGAAATTCTATCTACCAATTCTACCTTTTCTTTGATGAATTTGCTCCTTAGTTGCTGTGGTTGGCAGCAGCATTGTGAATTTTGTCATACAATGAGGAGTAGGTGTGACATTCCCACCAGGTATGTGCATTAAGGGGAAAAAAAGGCCTTATGTGGTTAATTGAAGACAGTGTGATAACATAAGCACAGTGGAGGGAACATAAACACCCTCAATTCTGATTGGTGTTTCTTAGCTCCTGAGTGTGTGAATCTGCAGCCTTTAACAGTTTTAAATATAGTTTGTCTGTATTATAGATTAAATAAAAATGGAAATGTGGGATTATGTTTAAATAGGCAGCAGGCTTTTCAAGCCCATTTTCTTTCAATATTGACACTTTTTGCTTGAGTGGGCTGGAAAAATGACAAACATAACATATGTTGTATAAATAACCGAGCAGTATAGCACCATAGTGGATATATAAATTTCTTTCCTATCTGCAGTCTTTAAAAACCTATCTCTCACTAGCAATGCAGGCACAGTTACATCTTCACGATTTTTTTAACTGTGGTGCTTTGTTCATTTTCTAGGATTTTCTTTGCATGCTGTTGGAAGACATACCTGAAGAAAAAGAGTAAGTGAGAACCAGGCTAGAAAAGTCAAATAAGAAAGTAGAAAGTAAATGTGAATATCAGTTGTGCTGGCCAGAAATAGTAGGATTTCATTTAGTTTTGCTCCGCTTGTTTTTTTCAAGTTTGTATGTGTAACTTTCTCTGAAAATCCTCACAGATACATACACAAAAAACACAAGACTTGCTGCGTTGTTCTATCCCATGGTTGCCGTGATCGCCAAGCAGTGCATTTAACTTGCATAGGGCAGTAGTGAAGTCCTATATTCACTGTGTGATCTGAAGTGCCAGGCAGAGCTGCGTGCTCAAACTGATTTGTGATCCTCTTACCACCTGCTTTTGGCACATGGCACCCTAGAGCAAGGAGGCCAGAGTTTTGTTGTGGATGCAGGAAACTAGAGAAGATGGATCTCAAGCAGTAGTGTGGTACCATCCTTGTCTTGCCATGCAGTATTCCAAACAGGGAAGGATGGAAAATGTCAATGGAAATCCAGCATTAATTGCCTGACATGTCCTTCCAAATCCTTCTATGTGTGATGGTTACTGGCTGAAGATGATAGTCTTTAGCAGAGCTTTGAAATCATCCTGCTTCTCCATTGGTTTGCTCTGTGTAACTACAGGCTGTGATACAAATACAGGTAGAGCTTTGAGGTAAAGCTTTGCACATTATAGCTTTTAAAAACAATGTATTCACTTGAAAAATCCAGGTTTGGGGATCAAGATTCCAAAGTCTTCATAACTCTGGGTGAGTAGTTGAGGGGGGGGAGGGGGGGGAAGGTGAGAAGATATACACAGAATTCAAATGTATTGATATTTTAGTGAAACTATTCTGTTCTTAGGGGGTGAGGGACAGAGAAGCTAGTTATCACTGAGATAATGCGTTTTGTGGCATCATGAGTTTAATCTGGGTGGTGGTAAATTTTCCAGTGACTTACCATAGGATGATACTTTGTTTATGTCACTGAATACGGGTTTCCAGCTCAAATATAATCAGGAGTATTAAATGGAATATATATGAAAGTTAATTATTTAATGGCATGATTATACATTGATTTGTTAATGAAACCTCTGCTTTCCTTCCTTTTTTCACTTGTGTTTCTCTGAAGTCCAAACCCAGTGCAAATGTTATTTGAATAAGCATCCAATTTTCCACCTAGAAATATGCCAAAATATGTAAACTTTCAGTGAGACTAATGCAAAAGAAGTATGTCTCTATTTGCATTGCATCGCTCCTGAATGTATTAACAAAATTTCAGATTTATGGTAATTAATTTTACAATCAAGCATACCGCATATCTGAACTTACCTACTGCCAAAGTTACCATGGGTGCAGATATCAACAACGATGCCAAAAATAACAGAACATCTGGATATACAAAAGTCCTTTATTTCTTATCTGCTACAAAGATTTTTTTTTCATTCTTGAACATATTCTGTTGCTAGTACACAAATACTAGCCTGAGGTAAAAGCAAAGGAAGGAACTATAAAAATGATATATCTTTAGAGATCATCTGCTGATGAGCTGCACAAAGTTTCAGTTGTAGGAATTAAATGCATTTCAAGATTAGAGCAACAGAATTCTCTGTAGCACACAAAACTTCCTAGACTTGTTCACTTCTACCAAGTAAAATTTTAATGTTTAAACTAAATGATCCTTACTTGAAAAATATGAAATGCTCTAATATACTGATGTTTGTAATGGAGTCTGGATTTAATAATTACCAAAAAAAAAAAAAAAAAGAAGAAGAAAATACAAATTATTAGTAGGGAATCAAGCCAAATCCTTGCGGCAACAGAGGCAAACTAGTCTAGCCGAAGCAGAATTTGGTTTATGGGAGACTTTTGTAATGAGAACAGGATTAACATTGGCAGAAAGCAATCACACAACAGTGTGGAAATTTCTGTAATTATTATGTTGTGGTAATGCAACATTAGCTTTCTGCTGTTGGACACAGCAGACTATATTTAAAAGATTCTCATTCTTTCAGTACTTAATTCCTTTAGTTTTCAGTTACATGAGAATTTTTAGTACATTCCCATCAATGAGCAGTTCCAAGATACAGACATAACCTCTTAAGTGGCAGTTATTGATTTTTGCTGCCTTCTGTACTCAGAGGAGGAGGATTATATACCTGGTTTATAGGGCTGCTTCACTTCCTGCTCTGACTCAATTTTAATGGCGTCTTAGCTGTTGGGATCCATTCTGCAAAGAATGTTTCTGGACTGCAGCTGAATACTGACATCAGACAGCCCTAGCACTACCTATGGTTCTTTAGAACTTCCCAACTTGTTCTTACAGAAGATCATTTCTTTATGTGAAGGGCTAATGGCAAGAAAGACAAACAAATATCTATCATTATCCTTTTCTGTTTTCAAAGCCTTTTAAAATATAACTTGCACTGGCTGTAGTCTCATTATCATGGCCATTCTGTAAAAAACACACAATACTTCCCACCTGTAACAGGCGTCTTATTTCCTCATATATAATTTGAAATGTCACTAAATAAAGTAAAATTAGAAAACAAAATACAAAACCAAAAAAAAAAAAACCACCCAAAAAGGAAACTTAAATCAATCAACAACAAAACACCCTCTTATGTGTCTGTGTGTCTGTATATCAGAGTGCACTAGATCTAAAACTCCCATTGGCTCTGTTCTCTCCAAGGCTTGCACCCACAGTCTTTGCTGTAAATTGATCCTCTCCATGTCTGCCCAACATGTGCGCTGTGCAGACTCAATGTTTTTAAGACCCTGTAACAGAGAGTGAATTTTACCAGCCTTGGATAAATCAGAGTCACAGCTGCTTGTGCTCTTTATGCCTGCAGATTTTTTTGAGCAAGTCAGTTCTGTTCTTTGGGGTTTTCTGGTGGTATTTTTTATTTATTTTCATTCCATAAAATAAGTGTACTAATAAAGCTATGGTTTTAATATTTCACAATAGACAAAGGAAGGCTTGTGTTACAGCTCTGCTATTTGTACTGTTAATAACTCAGGCTTACTAACGACATTCCTTGGGTGTCTTAGTAAGTTGTCAGTTAAGTACTAATTAATATCAATGATTTAATTGATAATTAAAATAATGCTGCAATTTCAAACAACTCAGCTATACAGGTGTATATTTCTTTTTTTCAGATTTGCTTTCTTTGTTGCTCACATTGTTGTAAATACAGTGATTTTGATTGAGACAAACAGCTGGTAGGCATCTAAGGCCGAAAGCAAATTACTGGGAAAGATTTTTCCCAGTGGTTAACAGAATCACTAATCATTCACTAGTCTTTTCTAGCTATGCCTCCATATTTAGCTGGAATGGCTTACTTTGAAAATGATGGATGTGTATGAATGTATATATGCAGATGAAACAAATATATTTGTTGGAGTATTTTCAGTTGCATATGGCAGACTTTTTATCTTCCTTTTTTAAAAAAAATAAATGTTGCACATCTTCATGTGCACTGTTGATTTGCTGCAATATCTTATTCTAGAAGTGGTTTCTTCTCCTCAACTGCGGAATTAAGTGGGCTTATGGTAAAGTTTGTAGAGTGCCTTGGGGTCTTGTGCAATGAAAACTTGATGTACAGACATTTTTTATAATCCTAATTTTCAAGTTATCATTAATATTAGTATTTTACAGAGCTTGTTCTGAAGCATTGAATCTGGCTATGAACAGTATGTATGCATTTTAGGAGGTCATTCCTAGGCTGATTGTCTTGTAATCTAAACAAATAGACAAGGAATGACATATTGGATGTCATTATATTCTCATTTTACAGTAGGGAACTGTAGCACAAAACAGTTGAAGAACCTGCCCAGCCTTGTAAGAGCTCTATTACAGTGGGAATCAATTGTACCCAGATCTCACAGTCCAATAGTACTTTAACCAGAAGGCCTGTTCTATTCAGGAAATCACACACACCCCAGATTTAAGCCCTTACAGATGCTGAACTGCAACATAAGCAGGTGGTAAGTGCCCTTTCTGAATATTGATGCTTTACTGAACTGCAGCCCCTACAAGTATAAAGCCCTGTGTCCTTTCTCGAGGACACTCACTTTGAAACAACGATCTGTTTGTCATCTTTTCTGGGGCTTGATCCTTGTCCTGTATCATAAAAAAAAAAACCAAACCAAAAAAAAAATAGGAAATGAAAGCATGTGTAAATGGTTTTATTGTTATTGTAATCTGAATGTTCTTTTTCCTTAATCTGCAGCTTCCATTTTTTGGTATGATGCTTTTGCCATGTATGCAAGCATATTTTAGGAGCTGAATGACAAAAGGCAGCATTTGTAAGGCAGGGCCTTCTCATTTTTAAAGCACCTGGTGTCTGATTTTTGCCTTTGTTACAAAATTCCAGTGTATGTTGCATAAATTTATTAAAACCAGATTGCTTATATTTTGCATATACTATTGAACAATTACTCAGTGAAGAGCCAGCTGACTCTCCACCCCTAACTCACATAGGCAAAATTTTAGACTGTTAGGTAGACCTGCTCATTTTAATGGACCTCCTTCAGAATACTGTTCATTTTGAGTAGGGCTGGCAGATCTCCCACCACAGTGTTGTAGAGTGGAGGCTATAACTATTAGTTCTACTTCCAGGGAATGCTAACTTCCAGGGAATGCTAACACATAGTTCTGCTTGGAGACAGAGGATAAATTTCCCATCTTGGATTCAACAGGGACAAGACTATCTAAGTCAGGATATAAGCCAGGTCTGGAAAAATGCTGTTTTTAATATCAGTAATTTAAATCTTCAGCAATTCCAAGTAAAAATATCCAAGTTTTAAAAAAGTAGTAACTATGATTTGTAACCACATAGATACTTTTACTTTATGGCCAGGGTCATCTACTAACATATTCCATTATTTATTTATTTATTTATTTATTTATTAGGGGCTGTAATGATAGGACAAGGGATAATGGGTTAAAACTTACACAGGGGAAGTTTAGATTGCCTATAAGGAGGAAGTTCTTTACTGTAAGGGTGGTGAGGCACTGGAATGGGTTGCCCAAGGAAGCTGTGAATGCTCCATCCCTGGTGGTGTTCAAGGCCAGGTTGGACAGAGCCTTGGGTGACATGGTTTAGTGTGAGGTGTCCCTGCCCACGGCAGGGGGGTTGGAACTTGATGATCTTAAGGTCCTTTCCAGCCCTAACTGTTCTATGATTCTATGTGGTTATTTCAGTCCCACACAGCTTGATCAAGACAAACTATTACCTTTTGCTGGGGCTCCAGACTGTTCTGTGACTTTTCTGTGAATGTTATCAAGATACAAAGAAAGTGCAGACAATATGAAACTAAAATAGATACTTGTTAACTAATACATATTAGTGCCTTTTAAAACCCAAAAGTTTAAGGAAGTTTGCCTTTAATTTAATTTCTTTAGTATCTTGTGTTTGCATTTAGGCTCCTTCTGCAGTAAAATACTGGGTTTGTATGTCTCTGGCTAAATATACTTCTCTGTGAGCTTTTTTTTTTTTAAAAAGTCCACTCAAAAAATAGAGCTCCTGTTCAGACTTTACATGTTTCATAAATGTAGTTTGCCATCTTACATTTTCTCTGTCAATCCTCAAAAGCACTGAATTTATCATTTGAGTTTTAAGCACATAATACCTGATCTGTCTTTAATTTGCTCATGTCACCTCTGATGGTATTACTCATTTAAGAAACCCCAAGAATGTAGTACCAATGCAGTACAATTAGTACATGGATTTGAGGGTTTTGCTTAGCTTCTAAAGAGTTAATTTTCATAGAGGAAAAATGATGTTTTTGTGTATGTTTTCAAATTTTTTTTTTTTTTCTTTTAAGATCTGGATTAACTGCAGAAAGCATCTTCCAGAATTGGCTTGACACTTCCGGAATACCAAAGGTAAATACAAAATACCAATTCCCAGCTCTTTCTGGATTCTTGCATTTCTCATTACATTATATGTTATTTAAATCACTACCTGAACTTAAAACAGGCATGGTTTAAAATACACAGTTTTGATAATAACTGCTTTCCACATCTTTATAGGGGTTTAGCTTTTATTGGCTACAGGTTTTTGCTTCTGCCATTGCCTCAACAAGACTGACAAAGGGCAAATCTTACAAAACTTATTGCTTAATACTGTAGGCATATGAAAGTATGCTTTACAGTATAGTTGTAGACTCCGTTAAATGCAAGGAGCATTGTTCACAGTTTACAGTATATGAATTACCTAAAAGCCATACTGACAGCAGTAACTAAATGTTCAATAATTTGTACTCTGATATTTTCTGAATGTTGTGACTTGCTCATGAAGTCTTATGCATGGGTAACATACTTCATTGTTGTCCTGGGTTCATAGTATCCTGGGTTCACCTGTTGACAGTTACTTTTCTCCTTTCTGGTAGCTGGTACAGTGCTGTGTTTTCTGCTTTAGTCTGTGAATAATGTTGATAACACACCAATGTTTCAGTTGTTGCTCAGTAATGCTTACTCTGATCAAAGACTTTTCAGTCTCTCATTCTCTGCCAGTGAGGAGGGGCACAAGAAGCCGGGAAGAAGCAGAGACAGGACACCTGACCCAGACTAGCCAAAGGGGTATTCCATACCACAGCGTGTCATGCCCACTATATAAACTGAGGGCAGTTACCCAGAAGGCCCAGATCACTGCTCAAATTGGGCTGCGTAGTGGTCAGTGAGTGGTGAGCAGTTGTATTTATTGTGCATCACTGCTAGTTTCCTTTTTTTTTTCTTTTCCCCTTTTAGTTTCATATTCTCTCCCCCTGTTATTTCCCTTATCATTATTATTACTGGTGGTAGCAGTAGTAGTTACGTGTTATACCCTAGTTACTGGACTGTTCTTATCTCAGCCCAAGGGAGTTATATTATTTTGATTTTCCTCTCCATCCCTCCCTAAGTGGGGTGGGGAAAGGGCAAGTGAGCGAGTGGCTGAGTGGTGCATGGTGCTCCCAGACTGTTTTCCCCAGCAAATTCTTTATGTGCACCCCAGGAACTTTATTCCCCTTCTATGGAATGTAAAAGTTCTGACTGGGCTGGGCCAGATTTGTTTGGCAGATCCTCTGGTGTTGACCAACCAAGTGACTTTTGCTAAATGTATATCCCAAAGTTTGAAAGTCTGTTGCTCTCAGTGTAGTGCTTAACACCTCATTGTACCATTCAGTTTTACCAGAGGTTGATACATGGTAGGGGATGTGATATACCCACTCAATGCCATGCTCTTTGGCCCAAATATCTATAAGGTTGTTCTGGAAATGAGTCCCATTGTCTGACTCAGTTCTCTCTGGGGTGCCGTGTCGCCACAAAATCTGTTTCTCAAGGCCCAGGATAGTGTTCCGGGCAGTGGCATGGGGCACAGCGTATGTTTCCAGCCACCCGGTGGTTGCTTCCACCATGGTAAGCACATGGCGCTTGCCTTGGCGGGTTGGTGGCAGTGTGATATAGTCAATCTGCCAGGCTTCCCCATATTTGTACTTCAGCCATCGTCCTCCATACCAAAGAGGCTTTAACCGCTTGGCTTGTTTAATTGCAGCACATGTTTCACACTCATGAATAACCTGGGCAATAGTGTCCATTGTTAAGTCCACCCCTCAATCACGAGCCCATTTGTATGTTGCATATCTGCCCTGATGGCCTGAAGTGTCATGGGCCCACCGGGCCAAAAATAATTCACCTTTATGTTGCCAATCTAAGTCCATCTGAGCCACTTCAATCTTAGCCGCTTTATCCACTTGTTGGTTGTTCTGGTGTTCCTCAGTGGTCCGACTCTTGGGTACATGGGCATCTACATGACGTACCTTCACCACCAGGTTCTGCACCTGAGCAGCGATATCTTTCCACAGTGCAGCAGCCCAGATGGGTTTACCTCTGCGTTGCCAGCTGCTCTGCTTCCATTGCTTCAACCACCCCCACAGGGCATTTGCCACCATCCATGAGTCAGTACAGAGATAAAGTACTGGCCACTTTTCTCGTTCAGCAATGTGCAGGGCCAGCTGGATGGCTTTCACCTCGGCAAACTGACTTGATTCACCCTCTCCGTCAGCAGTTTCTGCATCTTGTCGTCCAGGACTCCATACAGCTGCCTTCCATCTCCGATGCTTTCCCACAATACGGCAAGAGCCATCAGTAAACAAGGCATACTGCTTTTCACTTTCTGACAGTTCAGAATCGTAGAATCATGGAATAGAATCATAGAATGGTTAGGGTTGGAAAGGACCTTAAGATCATCTAGTTCCAACCCCCCTGCCATGGGCAGGGACACCTCGCACTAAACCATATCACCCAAGGCTTCGTCCAACCTGGCCTTGAACACCGCCAGGGATGGAGCATTCACAACCTCCCTGGGCAACCCATTCCAGTGCCTCACCACCCTAACAGGAAAGAATTTCCTCCTTACATCCAGTCTAAACTTCCCCTGTTTAAGTTTTAACCCATTACCCCTTGTCCTATCACTACAGTCCCTAATGAAGAGTCCCTCCCCAGCATCCCTATAGGCCCCCTTCAGATACTGGAAGGCTGGTATGAGGTCTCCACTCAGCCTTCCCTTCTCCAGGCTGAACAGCCCCAAGTTTCTCAGCCTGTCTTCATACAGGAGGTGCTCCAGTCCCCTGATCATCCTCGTGGCCCTTCTCTGGACTTGTTCCAACAGTTCCATGTCCTTTCTATGTTGAGGACACCAGAACTGCACACAATACTCCAGGTGAGGTCTCACAAGAGCAGAGTAGAGGGGAAGGATCATCTCCTGCAACCTGCTGGTCACGCTCCTTTTGATGCAGCCCAGGATATGGTTGGCTTTCTGGGCTGCGAGCGCATGCTGAAGCTGGTGCATGTTCATTTTCTCATTGACCAACGCCCCAAGTCCTTCTCTGCAGGGCTGCTCTGAATCTCTTCTCTGCCCAACCTGTAGCTGTGCCTGGGATTGCTCCTACCCAGGTGTAGGACCTTGCACTTGGTATGGTTAAACTTCATGAGGTTGGCATCAGCCCACCTCACAAGCGTGTCAGGGTCCCTCTGGATGGCATTCCTTCCCTCCAGTGTATCAACCGAACCACACAGCTTCGTGTCATCGACAAACTTGCTGAGGGCGCACTCAATCCCACTGTTCAGATCAATGACAAAGATGTTGAACAAAGATGTTGAACTTCTGGCCCGGTCCAGACTGGTCCAAGGGCTACTGCATGAACTATCTCATGTTTAATTTGCTCAAAGGCTTGTTGTTGCCTAGGGCCCCACTTAAAATCATTCTTCTTCTGGGTCACATGATAGAGAGGGCTTCCAATTAAACTGTAATTTGGGATGTGCATTCTCAAGAACCCCACAGCACCCAAGAAAGCTTGCGTTTCTTTCTTAACAGCAATGTTTCCACCAACTAATATCTTGTTGATTGCATCTGTGGGGATCTGTCGACTTCGCTTTTGCCATTTTATTCCCCAAAATTGAGCCTCCTGTGCAAATCCCTTAAGCTTACTCTGGTTTATGGCAGAACTGGCCTTCAGAAGGATTTGAATTATTTTTTCCCTTTGAGATAAGAACAGTCCAATAACTAAAGTATAATATAAAACTACTACTAACAATAATGATAAGGGAAATAACAAGGGAACAGAATACAGCTGTTCACCACCTGCTGATCGATACCCAGCCTGACCCAAACAGTGATCAATCCCTCCTGGGTAACTCCCTCCAGTTTATATACTGGGCATGATGTGCTGTGCTATGGAATACCCCTTTGGCTAGTTTGGGTCAGGTGTCCTGTCTCTACTTCTTTCTGGCTTCTTCTGCCCTTCTGCACTGGCAGAACATGACAGACTGAAAAGTCCTTGACCAGGGTAAGTGCTACTGAGCAGCAACTAAAACATCCATGTGTTATCAGCACTGTTGTCAGACTAAAGCCAAAACACAGCACTGCGCCAGCTACTAGGAAGGAGAAAAATGACTGTTACAGCTGAACCCAGGACATGCATTTGATATTCAATAATTTTTGTAAAAGGACCTTGAATTTAATACTGTGCTTTGATTAAAGTTTTGTTCCTGATAAAACAATTCAGTATGTTGTAGAACAGCTGCTTCAAGTACATGGGATAAACTGACATTTCACAGCTGTAGTTGTAAATGCTGAAATGTCTGCCTGAAATGGAAGAGTTTTCTGGCATTTTACTTACAATACCTGCTGACATAGTATTCTGCTTCTTCTGAGCATAGCATACTGACCTCTTCCCTCTGACTCTTTCTGATGGTTTACCCTTTTTGCCTTAAGCACTTCTCGGGCCCTTATGGGAGCTTGTTTCCACTTTATTGAATTGCAGTTGTCATTCAGCAAGCAGGAAACCTTGTTTCCTTTGTGTTAAATAACTTGGGGATCCTCTATTCTTAAAATCAAAACTTTCAATACATTAGTATCTATAATCTAAATATGACTGTATTTAGTGTCTACAGCAGTATAAATCTACTCATGTGCTGTACAGGAGCTTATACTGAACCCCCCTTAAAAAGTATGTAGATTATTTCACCAAACTATTCACTTGGCTAATGTGCTGAATCTTATGTAAAGGCACATAGACCACCTTCATACGTGCAGGTTAACTACATGCATAATAAATACCAGCCCAGGAATGCCACAGAACTGACCTTCTCACGGAGGTTGCCAGGTAAGCAGACTAGGGTGTGTGTAGAGGAAGGTTTCTGACAGCTCCTTTCTCCTCCTCATCCTGTTCACTCTCCTGTCAGGCAGTGTAAGCAGTATGAGGTGCACACTGTCCCTTGAAGTTGATTACCTTTCCTGAGTACTGAAGCAACTGAAGCAGCCGGTGAATGTCTGCTCCAACGATGTCTCAATGGCACAGGAGCAACATCCTGTGCTGTACACAAGATTCAGCAACTTTCTGCTT